AGTTGCCATGGTGACGAAACACTAATAAGCAGCGTGGGTGTAGGTACGAAACCAAGCAAGAGAGCGAAACGTCTGACCAACGCATCAATTCGCATTGTTAAATGGAGGACAAATAGGATGGATTCTTAGAATTTTGGGGTTCAGTAGTAACAAAACATCAAATTGGTTCTGCTAATTCGTCTTCAGAAATCGTGTACTCCGTTTACCTTTCCGACTAATCGAAACTTATTCAGTTGATTTTGGTCTTCTGCGTCGTAATGCTGAGTGGTACTTGTAGGAGTGTACCGATTTTCATAGGAGCATAAGGTCTACATCTTCAAGGTTGAAGTTGGAGACAGTATGTTCCTGTGAAAAGCTGCTGTCTACGTACAAGTCCACGTGTCATCTTCACCACTTTTATATAAAAAAAAATCTTAAAATTCATTCTGTTTGAAACAGGAATTGTTTCGAGATGCTGAAATGGTGAGAAATATATTCCATCAGCTTGTACTCTCGTCTTACAGTGCACCACAACAAATTTTGATGACCTGTAGCGTAGTTACTCAGAAGTATAACAATAACATTAAACAAATTACGTATTTATAACCTAGGAACTTTTACAATATATAAAACGTTAAGCAGTGTTATGTTTCTTGTATATTTGCTGCTATTAAGGTTTCACTTTGTTTATTTATTTTTTTCACAGTCATTCCAATCAAAACTTTCATTCAGTTCAAAGGAAATTGTTGCCCTGAGCTGTTCCTGGTGTAAGACAGCGTACCATAACAAGGAATTATGTTTCAACATTCAGAAGATAGGAGAGGAATGTAATCTCGGTGAGTCAACAAAAGATGAAGGAAAATTAAATTTTGCAAGTCGATAATGCTGTTCTGCCTTCTCGCTCTGCGTGTGTAGGCCCACACTCCATCTTGCGTGTAGGTTACAGGGCGTGAGGAATGTCTGTCTACGTGTCTGCTTTAACCTCTATCGTCTGTGCATTCACTTACCATTCTGCTAAAGCCTTAACCTACGAGTTGACGTCCAGCTGACAGCCTTGTACTACAGTGATTTGACACTTTGAAACACGACACAGCGTGTATATATCATGAAGGAAAGCTAAAAAGTGTGGGGAAGAAAGAGTCAAACCACATCTAAATATTATTTAATAATTCAGTCCGTACCGCGAAGAAAACACAACACTCCACCGTTACGAAGATCGAAAATAATATTTTAATAATTCAGTCCGTACCGCGAAGAAAACACAACACTCCACCGTTACGAAGATCGAAAATAATATTTTAATAATTCAGTCCGTACCGCGAAGAAAACACAACACTCCACCGTTACGAAGATCGAAAATAATATTTTAATAATTCAGTCCGTACCGCGAAGAAAACACAACACTTCACCGTTACGAAGATCAGCTGGTTGACGCTGTTTAAGGAAATAATCGCTGTTTACTCTGATAACCATAATTACAAAATGGAGGTTATTGATCGTTGAAAGCAGGTGGTACATATAATTACCACTGGGCTTTAACTTCTTCTTATCCACTTCCTGTCTGCCGTCTTTCTGTTTGTACGTAAGCATTTTTTAAACTTTTAATTTCAACTGTTTTTGATCTGCTTTGGTTAATGTTAGTCCACGTCTGTTTCTTATTATCTTACTTCATTTTCATCAAGTCTATTATTTCTACGCCACTCATTTCATTACTTTTAACTGTCCAAATAGACTCTGTGGCTGTGGGAATCACTGGATAATTAGGAAATAACCTACTCTCTGTGCCACTAAAATCATACTGAGTGCAGTTTGACACGAGATTGAAACCGGGCGGTTATCATGACATCCGGAATGACTCTTACGTCATTATGATGGATTGATTCAACGTAATCAGTAAATGAATGCCATAAGGATCACAACTAATGATCATCTTTGGATACGCACACAAAGAGAAATATTTTATTAGTATGTTGGAATAATCATCATTATCATCACCACTTTTGTCCTCGTGAAAATCGTCTACGATCACCAGTCCGAGGATCGTCTCAAATTCTTCCCTGAGGGAGAGAATATAGACTAAATTTTTAATCGGGAGTTATCGGTAACCTGTCTTTTGTGCAACCCTGATACAATTTTTTTTGTAACGCTGTGGTAGTCTGCATGATTAAAAATATTTACGTGATTTTTGAGTAAATTATTGAATATATCGTAAATCTGTTTGCGTTAGTAGTCGAGATTTTTAGTGACATTTTTAATGAAAAGCCAAGTCATTTCAATAAACTGTCTTCATTATAACCATGTAGCCCCCCCCCCCCCCCCCCACCAAGTCAGTAAAATAACCCCTATTTTGATTCTTATTGCATCAAAGTCTATATTGACTCGAATAAATAAATTAATATTTTGTGACGTAGTGTAGAATTTATTATGAATTCTAATATTATATAGAGTTTTCTTGTTATATTTTAGGTACACATAGTGGAATTGTAGTGCCTCCATCATGGATCGTGAAACTGCCACGTAGAGGCAGTTTCAAATCGAGCTTACGGAAGTCGCCAAAAAAGAAAACTTCGACTAAAAAGAAGATGAAAGATAAGGCAAGTTGAGTCACAAGTGACGAGTGACTGACCTTTGTCACGCGGGAAAAAGTAAATAACTATTGGAGCGCCAAATGTTTGTTTTTGATCTCCGGGGGGGTTAGCTCTGACGCGTGGTCGGTGGAGATCAGATATTCTGAATTAAGATGGCTTAAACTAGGATCTGTGTAGATAAATAATCATATTTTGATGTTCAAATCCTTGTCACATTTATTTCAGAGTGAGAAGGACCAGAAGACGTTCGTGATAAAGCCGATCCCTTCGGCAAGTGTGAAACCTGTACTCGTGTTCATCAACCCCAAATCCGGGGGCAATCAGGGGGCAAAACTTTTGCAAAAGTTTCAGTGGCTTCTCAACCCAAGACAGGTGTTTGATCTTACGCAAGGAGGGCCAAAGATGGGGTATGAATTTTTAAAGTTTGGTATTAATGTGCCTGAAGTTACGTAAATATATACGGGTAGCACTCGATTTACGCCGGGGATGTGTTCCTGGACGAACCGGCGTAAACGGAATCGGCGTAAATCGAAACTCTTTTTATAATGTAAATCAATGACAAACCGGCGTAACATCAAAACATTGACCAGTAATATAATGGCATTACATTTAAAGCTCTGAAATAACGTAAATAAAATAAAGGAAATTTAAAAAAAATATATTTTATACACTTACAATCGGTAATTCGTTGGTCCCCGCGATTGACTGCGATCTCTGCTGTTGTGCGATAGTTGCATTCATGTAAGACGCCGACCTATAGAAAATCGCGTAGTAAAAATAATCCCGGTACCTCCGCAGAGATTAAATTAGTCCTTTGAAAGTTTAAAAGCGCCAGGAATGAAATTGCATGAGAGCAAACTCGCATATGCAAAACTGTGCATTTCACAAACTGCTTTTATCGATTCATCGATCTCATTGGAGCAAATTCGAGTTATCGAAACATACGTAATTGCAGAGATGACTGGATTTATAATTTTTATTCAAAATCAGCGATGTAAGAATTGCGATTTATTATAAGAATCAGTACGAGAAACATTGTAAAACGTTATAAATAATAGTAAAATATATTTTTTTTTCACTTTCTGGTTTCAAAATCAGCTAGTTTCAAAAGTGGCGTTATTCCGAATCGGCGCAAATTGAACCGGCGTAAATCGAGATTGAATTTACTAAATTCCTTTACTGGCCTCAGGGTCACGATCGAAGAATTATCGAGGTAAATTGTTCTTTCGTAGCATAAAATACATTTTATAGGAATGTTATGGCGCAATTTGTGTGGTAGTAAAAGGACGTAACTAATTCTGTTAAGATGCAATAGTAACGTTGACTGTACTTTTGAAGTTTTCTTTAAAATATTCTCTTCACAGTTTGGAGCTTTTCCGTAAGGTGCCAAATCTGAGGGTTTTGGCCTGCGGCGGGGACGGCACAGTTGGATGGGTGTTGTCGGTCCTGGATCAGATCAGCGTCACCCCTCCGCCGGCCGTCGGAGTCCTCCCTCTGGGAACCGGGAATGATCTGGCGAGGTCCCTGGGGTGGGGTGGGGTAAGTTTCATTCGTCATTTTTTTTTTGTAATTTTTTGTGTAATTTTTATGAAATTTTATTTTTAAGACATTACAAGGCTCCAGTTTTAGTTTTACTGATGGCTTTAAAATATTTTTTCAGGGTTACACAGACGAGCCGATTTCCAAAATTCTGTCAAATATTGGGGAGAGCGACATCGTGCAGTTGGACCGCTGGGAGCTGAAGGTGGAGAAGAATCCGGACGCAGAAGCGAACGAGGAAGGGAAGGAGAACTTGCCACTCAATGTCGTGAATAATTATTTCTCTCTTGGCGTCGATGCCCATATAGCATTGGAATTCCACGAAGCAAGAGGTTAGTGGGACGATACGACAGACTGACGTATCTTGTTTACCAAATTTGGTTCAGATCCGCACCTTTTGAAATCTATGGGAGATCGGAGTTGAAGGAGACTGGATTTTGTTGGCCCCGGACTGGGTCCGGTGGAGGGCTTTGGTTAATTCGGTGATGAACCTTCGGACTTCGTAAGCCGTCTAGTTAGTTAGGTTCTAAGATGACAAAACATTACCTCCCCATTATGCTTTGAGTATATACACACCGCGCGCTAATGATGTGGTGGTTGCTATGCAATTTTCTCGTCTGTCATTTGATCCGCGTATCGCGTGACGTTACAAGTCATAAAAAATCTCTGTCGGCAGAGGCTCATCCCGAGCGATTCAACTCGAGGCTGAGGAACAAGATGTTTTATGGGCAAGCGGGAGGCAAGGATCTCCTGAGGCGGAAGTGGAAGGGTCTCGCCGAGTTCGTCGCGTTAGAATGCGACGGAAAGGATCTGACACCAAAACTCAAGGACCACAAGGTCCATGCTATAGTTTTCCTTAACATTCCAAGGTAAGAAACGTGCACAGATTAATTCAGAAGATTTCTGACGGTGGTGTATCACGATTGCTATCACCTCGTCTCTGGACGTTATCGGTCGTCGAGTATTGCAAACAGAGCAAGATGCTTCGGAAACTGGGTTTTGCTTCTGCCCACGCATAAAAAGGTGAGAAGTACCTACTCAGTTGGGTCCAAAAAAAGCTACTTTCAATCACTGGACCAATATCTTTCTAGCGGATGCAAAGAAACATCTCATTGACACATGAAAGAACCTTACGATCATGAAACGAGATGTCTCGTAAGCAAAATTCAGCGGCCATTTCTCACCCAAGTCTCTCCTGATTCGCTACTAGATGGCTCTGGCAGTCAAATCAGGATTGAGTTGAAATTTTGCAGAGGCAGTGGGGCTTGTCACTCGCTACTCGTAAACACGCACTTAAAATACGAAGGAACCTCCCGACATGGGAGGAGACCGAGGCTCAACTTCGGGCCGTTCCGCCATTGAATAAGATGACTTACGTGTCTATTTCTTGCAGTTATGGGGGTGGGACCCACCCCTGGAATCGGACTGCTGGCGGTATTGAGCCCGCGACTGACGACGGGCTTATCGAGGTTGTCGGACTCACCACCTATCAGCTTGTGAGTAAGTTTAGGAAGTCCTATAAACATTTTGTTGGTGTTTTCAGACCGTGCGCTATGTTAAACATCAATAATCTCTTGCTTAAAGCAGTTACTAACATTTATTTTAAATCACTGTATCATGTGTCTTCCAGGCGTACTTTAGCCGTGAGTCCGAAAGTTTAGTCATTTGCTAGTGCGACTCACGTCCAGCCGGACCACGCATAAGCAGTTTCACACTGACGATAAAGGTTAATTGTATAAGTCAGTTTGTTAAATACTGAAGATAAATACTTTTTTGTCGTAATCCTTTGTATAACTCGTGTAGATATCGAGTTAATGAGAATCCATCGTTAGGGAAGATGGATACTTGTACACGAATGGATGGACAAGTGAACACGATATCATAAACCGGTCTTTCCCTCATGAAATAAGGACGGTCGACTAAAAGCGCTGTGGGTTAATGCCAGCGAGCGTGTGTAATTTACGGGATTTTCGTTTGTGTCGCTACTGCGCTGCAGCCCCTGCTACAGGCCGGTGGTCACGGTACCTGCATCACCCAGTGTAAATCTGCCCGCATCGTCACCACAAAGACAATCCCGATGCAGGTCGACGGTGAAGCCTGCAAACTTACGCCTTCCATCATCACCATGACTCTTCTCAACAAGGCCTCCATGTTAGCTAAAAGGAAAGGAGGAAAGTCTAACATACAGTAAGTACGTAGTGTCCGCTATAGAGAGTATCTTTTAATTCATAAATTATTCATGGGGTAGAGAAAAAATTGTGGTTGTGTCTATGGTGGCGTCTGGCGGAGTCTGCGTCTGGCAGGAATCAGCATTAGCCATTTCTAGAAGCGTACGCTTTGGATCACTATGATAAAATAGAAAAGAAAGATTCGGTACTCGTGGGTTATCGGGACACATCGCTTTAAAAAATGGGTTAGGTTAGGTCAGATTAGGTTAGGTTAGGTCAGGTCAGGTTAGGTCAGGTTAGGTTAGTTGTCATTTATTGAAATAAAATATAATAACTCAAGCATATGTCATTTATCCACACACATTAACCTAACCTAACCTAACCTAATTAAAGCGATGTGTCCCCATAACCCACACGTACCAAACATTTGTTACCAGAGCTTTGTAAAAGGCTAGGTCAATAAACAAACGCTATTACATTTAGAAAGTAACAACGCTAATAATTTATGCCACGGATTAGCTTTCGCTGCCATCTATACGATGGCAGTGGCCCATTGTATGGAAACAGAAATTGAAAATCTGTCTTTCACAGGCAAACTGCCTTGGAAACGCTGAAGGTGAATGTCGATCGAATCAGTATGTCCGATTACGAACAGCATCACTACGACAAGGAATTGCTCAAACAAGCAGGTGCGTACCTTGATATTTTTTTTTCCAGTATTTTAATAACAAAATGTGTATCTGCTCATCCAGTTTTGAAGATCTTCATCGCATGAAATTGTGTAAACAAGTTCGTTATGTCACCTTGCCTAGTTGACTTTTATCGCCCACGTTTCACGGCTTACGTGCGGGCCGGCCGGCCGCGCATCGCGGTAGTTACGTCAACCAAGATCATAGAAATGTATTCGCTTCATAGACTTTTGCCTGAAAGTTAAAACGCGTTATCTGCTTGAAGCTAGAACCTTGAACTTATTGAAATTTTTTTTTTTTTTTCAGTGCACGAACTCCGCTTTCAGTACATTTGTCTTATGTAATTATTTTTTGTGTCTAGCTGTGCCTCTGGGAGTGATTGAAGTGAACCCTGTGTCAGACCTGGAACAAGTGAGAAAGCTAATCAACAAGTTGCAGGAAGAGAACAGCACTAATACTGCAGAAAACGAACTGCAGGACAGCACTAATACTGCAGAAAACCAACTGCAGACCAGCCTGTCTCCAGACTGGTGTTTCGTAGACTGTGAGTCTTGTTCCGCTAAGATTATTGTGTTAGACGTCAATTTACGCGGCAGTAGCAGTGGAAGTTACTTTATGTAGTAGATAGATCTTGAAGTTTGCGTCTTCTGAATCCATCTTAGAACCTTCCCTCGTTGCGGAAATACGGAGAAGAATTTCCAGGTACAAAAGTCCATGCGTTTGGAAATTATTACTGCGCCTTGGTCATAACATTTTATAATTATATCTTCTTCTTCTATGGCTCTCCGGTCCGTATTCGGTCCATGGCCCCCTCAATTCTCCTCTTCCATTCGGTCCTCTGTTAGGTCCGTCTGTCCGAGGCTTTGATTGAGGTTTCGAAACATCTTCCTTTTTTCGGTGCAAGGTTGTTAGCCTTGCGACCAACCCCCAACCTGGAGGACCAGGGTACCTCTCCCCCTCGACCAATCTGGCTAGGGAGACCCTACCAGTAGCTCTTGGGGTCACTGAGGTACTCAAGCCCCACCACCACGAAAAGGTGTCTTGAGTCTTAGCGACGCCGTCTTCCAGGGCCCAAACACCACCTATTCCTGTTGCAGGCATTATTTTTACCTACGCATCAAATTTGTTACGTAGACGGAAATAATACCCTTTGAATCACATCACGTAACAGCGCGCCTCACTTCAAGACTGCTGATTCCATTTTCCCACTTCAAAAGTCTCGTCCTCATTCCTGTCTCAACTCCTTCGTGCCATCTTCTTCCTTGTCTTCATATTATTCTTCTTCTCCATTTGTCCAATTTTTTTATGTAACCTTTCATCTGTGACCTCTGCTTTAAAATAATCTTGATCAGTGTTTCTCATCTTTATTAATTCTCTGATTTTCTGTGATGTGTTCCGTGTCGATAACGAGGCATTTATTGCTTTATGCTTTGTCACTGTTTAACTTTAGTTACCAGATTTGTATATTCTTGGCACATCTGTATCTCGACTGCATTTTTTAAATTCACGGTATTAAATTTTTTTTTACAGAACACGAATATTTTTTTTATCCGCGCTTGTCGTAAGTCACCGTTTCTGATATTCATCCTGAACTGCACTTGTCATATATTCAGTAGCGTAATAATTGTATTTTCCAGTTTGTATGTTCTTGTGTCTTCTGCGTTTCCAGCGTGCA